GTTCCGCGGGGGTTTGCTCTGATTTTTTTTTTTTTTTTTTATGCGCAACACTTTACCACTAGTTAAAGGATAATTGTTGTGTTGTATGTAATGAATGAACAATTGAATTGGTCAACTTAAAGCAGAACTACACCCTCCTATCGTTTAAAGCCAAGGAAGGTACCATCTTAGCCTCTATTTGGATTACAGTTGCCATGGTGCCACACATGTGATCAGCTATGACACCAGCTGGTTGAAAGCACATCGACCACCTTGACACTTGGCACGCTTAAAATTCCCCATTCACACCTTGGCGTTTTGTCGCTTGAAGGTAAGCGCAATAAAATGATCAACACAAGGAATCCCATTCATTTCTTTACCTCTAAGAAAATTCATTAATGAATGTCTCAATAGTGAGGCATTAATTAATGACTGGAACTGCTGAGAATCAGCAGTTACCAGCATTACAGAGGCTAATATAACTCGGCACGTACAGTGTATGTGGCCAGTCATATAGCCACTTTGTGACGGGACGTACACTGTACGTCTCCCGTCACGAAGGGGTTAAAACAGCCAATTCCATTTAAACGCTATGTAAACCCCAAATCTTTTTTCAAGTATGTTTGACATTATGACTCACTGTGTGCCGATTTATTTATTTAGTTTATGTGAATCTTTTGCAAAGTTTTTTTTACCTGGAGATCCTTCCAGTAACAGCATTGTCCACCTGCCATGTAAGTTCCTCCTGCAAAACCTGACGGGTAGCCCAAAAGCTGAGGAGGAGGAGCCCACATAGCAGGCTGACAATGCTGCTGCTAATTGCCTGAAACAGGAAGTTCTGTTACTGGCTTGGAGCTTCATGTAAGAAAAAAACTATTTGCTGTATACAGGAAGACATGATGCAAAACACAATGAAAAATTGATTTTGGGTTTACATACACTTTAAAGAGTCAGTCTACTCTTTCAGTTTTTGGTATGCAGCCTTTGTCAGCCAGGGCTCTGTGGAACCCTTGGGTTCTTCAGGAGGATGCTAGAGGTTCTCTGAGCAATGAACAATTTCTGCCTCTTTAAAATGGTAACCATGACAACAGTGATCGTTTTAGCTATCTGTAAGGGATGCATTCTTCCCATTGGCCACCAATGTAAGGAGCATTTTTTCCCCACAGACAATCCCACTAATGCACTGATGTTCTGTACCTTCTGTGCTGGGTGAGGCATTCCCCCGGCCTGCTGAAGCCCCACCCAGTCACCAAGCTACATGTGAAGGAGGGAGGCACCTCCCTGTCCCTCACTTGCTCGTCACTGGTGAGGCATCGAGTTTGATGTCCTCAGTGCATTTTCTTTTTTTTTTGATTGGACAGCTTGGACCAATGACACTTTGCGATTTGGTCCAAACCATCCACAGAGCTCACGCCTTTAACACAGAGTAGAGGCTGTAACAGCTCTTTCCTCACTGTTAGGTTACACAAGCAGCCCGCTGCTGTGTAACCTAACTTCGCTGTCAAAACCCGGATGCAGCTCCGCCTGTAATTAACAGGCAGCACTCCATCCGTGACAGGTTACACAGCGGGGAGGCTTTCCCTGCTGTGTAACCTGTTACAAACTGCTCTGAATGGAGAAAAAGCTGTCAGCTTCAGACCTGAAGCTAACAGCTTTCTCCTCAATACCCGGTGAGTCTCCGCCTCACCTACCTCCCTTGACCACATGTCCCTGCACTAATGTACCCTGAGCTGCAGATATAGTAATTGTTGGCAGGAAATCGGTGTTAAAAAGAGAAAGCATTACCAGTTAAACCACCTGGAAATGTTTTCTGTATTTCTCTGGGAAACATTAACTTTCTATTGGGGAGAGATTTGCACTTGAGTTGCTGGGTCTGCTTACCCACTGTGGCCAACATGCAGAGGTTTCATTTACCGTATATTTAAGATTTTGTTGATGTGACTCAAAGCAGATTTTTTTTTTTTTTGGCTCATCTTGATTTTGTCAATGTTAATTGTTTAATTAAAATATATTGTGTCCCCAAGTATGCAGAAAAAACATTGTCACCATCAGCTTCCATTCCTCAGAAACATTCAGATAATCCAGGCGATGAGAATAGGCTTGTTTACCTAATAGATGCACGTTGTACTGTGTAAGCAGCACTTCATGTTCATTTACACAGAAGGTTAATATTTAATAAGAAAAGGAGGTTCTCGGGTTTCTACATAAATGTCACATAGTTAAACGTACCAGCATGGTGATTCACTTTCATTCTAAAAAATGTATCTTTTTATCCTTATGGTACATCTTTCTGATTTAAGAAGTGTTTAGAGCTTATGAAAGTGTTACTTTAGCATTAATTATTGCACAGTATGTGGACCTCTTACCTTACAAAGTGTACCAACATCTACAATGGAATTGATGACTGATCAGCCTACACGTACACTAATGATAAAAGGGGTATGTATGTATGTGTATATATATACACAGTGTGGAAAATAATTATTTGATCCCCTGCAGATTTTGTAAGTTTTTCCACTTACAAAGAATTGAAAGGTCTATAATTTTTATCATAGGTGTATTTTAAATGCTAGAGACAGAATAGCAACCAAAAATCCAGAAAAACACATGATACAAATGTTATAAATTGAGTTGCAGTTCAGTGAGTAAAGTAAGTATTTGATCCCCAAGCAAGACATGGCTTAGTACTTGGTGGAGAAACCCTTGTTGGCAAGCACAGAGGTAAGACATTTCTTGTAGTTGGTTACCAGGTTTGCACACATATCAGGAGGGATTTTGGTCCACTCTTCTTTACAGATCTTCTCTAAATCTTTAAGGTTTCTTGGCTGTCGCTTGGCAACTCGACGTTTCAGCTCCCTCCATAAATTTTCAATAGGATTAAGGTCTGGAGACTGGCTAGGCCACTCCATGACCTTAATGTGCTTCTTCTTGAGCCACGGCTTTGTTGCCTTGGCGGTATGTTTTGGGTCATTGTCATGCTGAAAGACCCATCCACGACCCATCTTCAGTGTTCTGGCTGAGAGAAGGAGGTTCGCATCCAAGATTTTACAATACATGGCCCCATCCATTGGCCCCTCAATGCGACAAAGTCGGGCTGTGCCTTTTATCAGAGAAACAGCCCAAAGCATAATGTTTCCACCTCCGTGCTTGACTGTAGGGATGGTGTTCTCAGGGTCATAGCTTTTTTCTTCCTCCAAACACAGCGAGTAAATCTTAACCACCTCCCGACCACATCACTGCCTGTTTTTACATTTTGGGACTTTCCTGCTCATGCGTGAGGGCGCGTGGCTGAGCGGACATCTAGAGAGCTCCCGTCTGGCCGTTTTTTTACGGCGGTCGGGAGGTGGTTAAGATCATTCACAAGCTCCTCCTGTGTAGTTCTGGGCTTATCCCTCACTTTTCTCAGGATCATCCTGCTCTGATGAAGAGGGGGATTACACTAGAAACCTAGAAACAAGATTCTGGCCCACTTTGCGGTTGTCAGTTGCCAGCTTGTTTTGGTTATTTTGAAATGCTTTGCTAAAGACACCGTTTGTGAGTATGATTTCATTCTGTTTTTTTTTTATTTTTGGGACGAAATAAAACGGTATTTCACAAGGAAAAAATGCTGTTCTTTTTTTCTTCTTTGTTTTACATGCACTATGAGGCTTTTCAACCTTTTATTGAACAGCAGCTTCCTCTATGCCACTTATTGATGTCCAACTCTAGAATTCCCATCTTGAGTGTGGCATATTGGGACCTCCACCAAGCGCTGACTCTTTGGACAATTATGCATAAAAGGGTGAAGAGTTTGGAGAAGTGAACAATCTAGTACAAAATAGCTGATTTGTGAAAATTCTCTAATTCAGCTCCTTTTCCAGTTCAGC